AAAAAGAAAGAAAGAAAGAAAGAAAAACGAAAGTCCTATAAAAAGTCCCATGGTAACGCAAACRCATTTGGCGAGAAATAAACGACAACTTCGAACATCTATCAGCTTTTTTACAGTAATGACTTCCATTGATATTAACTGCTCACCAATTTCCGTCATGTTTGTTTTGTTTTGCATGGCGACACGAGTGAAAAACGTCTGCGCATGCTCTGAATCCGTATGAAAATTGTAGTCAAAACATACGTAAATTTGACTTTCAAGAATGTCGAAACTTAGTGTCCATGCTTGAGACTTAGGACTAATTCTTTCATATTGTGTTTGTTAATACAGTATCTTGGTCTGACAAAAGTATACTCTCGAGCTTTTTCGTATACTGGGGGAAAACAAACATTTATTTCCTCACTCAAACTCTTCAAAATTCTTAGAAAACGTGCAGGTATGCGCTAAGGTTTTTTCCGGGTGGTGGTCTTGCATGGCTGCCTAATCGCCGAATTAGTCCATTGACGTCATCTTCGGAAAACACAGGTATCCCAAATATCCCCAAACATTTGGTTCTATGTAGCTATTCACCAGTCTCTCTCCGTCCGAGTTAAAATTCAAGATGGAGGCCAAAGGCAACAGARTGGACAGGAAAAGACCAAGAGATAATAACGAGGAAGATTTCTTGATTATACGAGCTAAAGGACAGTATTTGAAAGTCCCCAAGGAACGAGAACATGAAGGAATTTCTATTTCAAGTGGAACAGGTAACTATATCAAGTTTTATATCAGAATTGTGGTGAAAACGTGTTTGCCGGCGTATTTACAGTAAATGTGCGCTTATTAAAGATTTTCTCTCTAAGACCACAATATGGATATAAGATAAAAATTTAATGTTTATTGCTCACGGTAATTTTATCTGTTTCGTAAGTTTAAGACATGTATTTTAACCATATTTAGTAAAGTATTTCATACGAGATATTTTGTATTTGAATCAGGTTTTGCAGGGGTAATTAAGCTTATAAGCTTATATTTGAGTTTTTGCGGTTCAAATCTTTTTTGCAGATAATTTAGTAAAGCCAAAGAAAAGAAAGAAAGTCATTTCGAGGAAAGAGAAAAGAAAAATTAACAGGGACGAAAAGAAGACGAAGAAAAAGAACTTCTTTCTAAAGAATGTAAAGTCAGAGAGCACTACGAAACAGAAACCACAGGTAACCCAATGGATAAGACTTTCTCCTTTACGATGTGTCTATTCTGTTCTTTGAATGCATTCTTGACCCCAGAGCTCTGTCATTCTTACTGCATGTACTTGGAAGATGCCAGAGATTCTGGGAAACTCCAGAAATTCGAGTGTTGTGATTGAATATATAACATTTTGTGAGATCATGTTAGTAAAACAAACTGTACAGTACAAGCAATCAAAGGAGTGAAGGTACAAAGGTGCGTGTGTGTGATTCAAAAGGCGCCAAAACTTGTCGATTGTTTACAAGTATTATGAGCCACACTCACCAGGCCTATTCGGGCTAATCCAAACACGTGTAATTGACGTCAACTTGTTTGATTGATGGCAGTCTATTGCAAAGTGCACATCGCAATTTTTGTCTCGGGTGGCTGTGTAGCAATGTAAATGGAGGTGAATAATTTACTGGGCCAGGTTGTTCAAAGCTGGGTTAGAGCTAATCCAGGATTAACTCTATAGGTCTTATTAAGAGTTAACCCAGGACTAGCACTAATTGGGATGAACAACTGGGCCCTGGATAAGATTTATCCATCAGATAGCACTATCCAGGCTTTGAGCACGCACATTAAATATCATGGCCTGGTTGTACAAAGCCTGGATAGTGCTATCCGGCGAATAAATCCTTATCCAGTGAATAAGTAAATGCTGTTGTCCAATAATGAAATAATCCACTGGATAAGATTTATCCATCAGATAGCGCTATCCAGGCTTTGTACAACTGGGCCCAGGATTTCTGGCTATATATCATGCTAGAGTTTCACAGAGTCTTTCATTGGGCATGAACAGTAACATTGACTGGGCTTCTGAGCACATGGGTTTAAGACTGCTATTTCTTTAAGCATCAAATGTTATTGTTCATGATAGGTCGTTCTGCTTGTCTGATTTTAGGGTAAAAAACAAGTTATATCTGATGAAACGCATGAATTAATAGACACAGAAGAACCTTCAAAGAGAAAGAAAGGAAAGAGGAAACGAAAGGTAGGGAATTAAAATGGATATCTTTAGCTGTGGCATACTGTTTTCTGATTTCAGACCATGTGTCACCCTCTTGAGAATAACATTCATTGTTTGAGCAATATCCATATTAATGTGTCTTCAAATAAACAACTGTTAAACAAAGAAAAAATACTCTAGGGAATGAAACATAGTCTGAAATAGTCTGAAATGGAAAAACTTTACACCCAAGCTAAAGAGGTCTGTCCAATACTGAATACATGTACTTAGTACATGCAAATACACTATAGTGTTCAATTTACATGGGTTTGTAGTGCCATATTATTACATGTATCGTTAAACTTCTTATTAAGTAAGTGTTAATAGAGACTAGGGGCGTCATGGTACAGTAGCACAGACTGGGGGTGTCATGGTATATGTGGGGCCATCATGGCTGTGGGCGTCATGGTGAGGGGGCGACATGGCCGGATACCGTTTGTATATAGTTAGTGCTATATGGGATTCAAATCTATTCATTGCTGTTTTAGACTCTTGATCTTTTCTTTCTTAAAGAAATCTATGCCAACTGAAAGAGACCTGGAAATCCAGAGGCTGAAGGAGGAAAATGAGAATGAAGATAAGCAGATTAAGAGGCTAGAAAAATTACTCAACATGAAAAACAAAAAGAATTTGCCTTCTCAGTTTAAAGCTGATGGTTTGGACTGTATCCTTGCTTTTTTACTTTCCCCGAACCATTGTAGTACATTGTGTAGTTTCAGAAATCATCCATACCCACCCCGCAGAGGAATTTGGAATTTCTGAAGAGTAGGGGGGTCAGAGAAAGAACAAAAATTACAGAGTTTGTATGGAAGAAAATTGGAGGGTAGGGGGGTGTCTTTAAAAAATTCCTCCATGAGGGAGGTATTCTCGACTTTCACATCCCCATAATGCCTTGCGTTTTTGGGGGGTAGCCAATCAAAAAACTGTCCCAAAATGAAAGGTTTCTTAATTGAATTTATACTATACCTGCTTTTATCTGTACAATACTGATTATCAGTTTATTCCAAGTTATTTTTGCGTGTACAGATCATCAAGAGTTTTGGTCTTACAGAAAATGTATTGACTTACAAAAAAATGTTTAAAGGACAACTGACCCTCCAAAATGACCCATTTTTAAGAGGAACTACATCATTTGAGAAGTCCAAAAATCCAGTTTTTAAAGGGGATAGAGCATCCATTTTTCTAAAACAATTTTTTGAAAACATCGCATATATCGCTCTGGTGGCCGCCATCTTGCGCTTTTATCGCGGGCTCAGAAAA